CTTGGCTCACTGCAAGCTCTGCCTCCCAGGTTCACACCATTCTCCTGCCTCAGCCTCCTGAGTAGCTGGGACTACATGCGCCCGCCACCACACCCAATTTTTTTTTTTTTTTTGTATTTTTACTAGAGACAGGGTTTCACCATGTTAGCCAGGATGGTCTCTATCTCCTGACCTCATGATCTGTCCACCTCAGCCTCCCAAAGTGCTGGGATTACAGGTGTGAGCCACCACGCCCAGCCTAAGCATCTTCTTTTAACTTTTGCATTTATGGGACGGTCCACAAACATTAAAACTGATAATGGTCCAGCTTATGGCAGCTCATAATTCCAACAATTTTGTCACATGTGGAATATCCAACATTCCACAGGTATCCCGTATAACCCCCAAGGACAAGTCATAGTAAAACATGCTCATTCCACTCTGAAAAATATGTTCAAAAAACAAAAAGGGGAGAGTATGGGTAAAGACCCTGCAACACTATTGGCACAAGCCTTATTTACCCTTAATTTTTTAAATTTAGATGACAAATTTCAATCAGCTGTAGAAATGCACTTTGCTAAAACCTCTCAAGACATAAAACCTGTAGTTTTATGGAAAGATGTGAACAGTAATGTATGGTGTGGTCCAAATGAATTATTAACATGGGGAAGAGGGTATGCTTGTCTCCACACCCCCTCAGGTCCTCTTTGGATTCCAGCACGATGCATCAAACCATAGCATGGCATGGCTAGGACCCAGCCCTGTACCAGAAATGAAGAAAATAACCCTATAGGACCCACAGCCCCGGACAATGCACCTTCCTTGGACAACACAGGCCATGGACAGAATGCTGAAGAAGACAAGTCAGAAGACTGAGCGAATCCTGTTCCGGACGCAGACACCATTCGCTCCAGATAATTGTTCCTTACTGTGCTTTATTAATCTTTTTAAATTCTCTCACTTTACCTGCCACCTGTACCTGCTGCACTCTATTAAGCTTGTCTTCTGAATCTGCCTTTTTTCAGCCCTGTTATCTGGGCAGACACTCCCTTCCCAGCTTCTAACAACACAACTGCTTGGCTGGAAGGGGTTAACATATCCCCAGCAGGGCTCCTTAGTAACAGCACACACCAAACTGAAGTGCCAAGTAATGCCGCAGGTCACTCCTTGATTGGGAAAGAATGATGCTAATTATACTCATGATCGTCTTATGTTATTTGCTAATTCTAGGATGCAAAGCCAGAATAAGAGCAATGACCGCCTTGCCCGACAGACCTGTGGCTGCACACAAACAGAACCCAATGCAAAAAACAGAAAAGGGGGAGACGCGGGAGTTCAGTCCGGCTGGTGGGAAACATTTTAAGATGAAGTTATAGGATATAGACACAAACCTTGGAAGGCTGGAAGGTTTTGCAAAAGTTTTAGGATAGGGTTGTGGCTAAAAGCAGCCTAATCCTTACTTTGAGTTAACAGCTTGGGACACAGATACAAAGGAATGTAGAATATTTTATCTAAATAGCTTGTTTACTCATGTGGTCCTAAGACCAACCTTTGGTCAACCACGGTGCATAATTGCTTTCTACTCGGGAAATCAGCAATGTCAATTACTCTCTAGTGGTGTTTACTCAAGACCTTTGTCATTTAATCTATACTGAATAAATGTGAGCTTCACTGGCTGATTGGTGGCTGCAACTCTTCATAGCACCTTCCTTGGTGTCTGTGAGTGGCCTGGACCGTCAGCCGGACTGACAGGCAAAATATCTATGTCAATGTGCATCTCTCATCCGTTGCTGGGTCACGATCTGTGGGTCAGACCCCTGTATACTTTCATGGCTAGAAAGGAGAGAATTCAATGCTTAGCTTCAAAGTTTCATAGGGCACGCTGACTGTGTTAGGTGCTGATGCAGCTGGTGAGTTTAAGTGAAGCCAGTGCACATCTACCATTATAAAAATTGTAGGACCCTTAGGAATTATGCTAAATCAACTCCGCCTGTGCTCTAGAAATGGACCAAAGCTGGGCTGATAGGACTTTTGAATACAGCATGACTTACGGAATGTTTTAAGCCTGCTGTTGAGACCTACTGCTCAGAAAGAAAGATTCCTTTCAAAATATTACTGCTCATTGAGAATGCACCTGGTCACCCAATAGCTCTGACGAACATGGGCAACGAAATGAATGTTGTCTACATGCCTGATAACACAACACTCATTCTGCAGCCCAGGGATCAACGAGTAATTTCTACTTTCAAGTCTTTTGGAAGGCTACATAGCTACCATAGATAGTTATTCCTCTGATAGAGCTGGGCAAATTAAATTGAAAATCCTCTGGAAAGGATTCACCATTCCAGGTACCATTAAGAACATCAGTCGGCCGGGCGTGGTGGCTCACGCTTGTAATCCCATCACTTTGGGAGGCCAAGGTGGGTGGATCACATAAAGTCAGGAGTTCGAGACGAGCCTGGCCAACATGCCGAAACCCCGTCTCTACTAAAAATATAAAAATTAGCTGGGCATGGTGGGGCATGGTGGTGCATGCCTGTAATCCCAGCTACTTGGGAGGCTGAGGCAGGAGAATCACTTGAACCTGGGAGGTGGAGGTTGCAGTGAGCTGCCACTGCACTCTAGCCTGGGTGACGAGAGCAGAACTCCAAAACTCCACCTCAAAAAAAGAACATTTGGGATTCAGGGGAGAAGGTCAACATACCAACATTAATGGGAATTTGGAAGGAGTAGATTCTAACCCTCATGGATGACTCTGAGGGGTTTAAGACTTCAGTGCAGGAAGTCACTGCAGATATGATAGAAATAACAAGAAAACTAGAATTAGAAGTGGAACCTAAATATGTGGCTGAATTTCTGCCACCTCAGTATAAAACCTGAATGTATGAGGAGTTGCTTCTTATGAACAAGCAAAGAAAGTGGTTGAGGTGAAATATATTCCTAGTGAATATACTATGAACATTGTTGAAATGAAAAGGATTTAGAATATTACATAAACGTAGTTGATAAAGCAGTGTAAGGGATTGAGAGGATTGACTCCAATTTTGAAAGAAGTTTTCTGGTGGATAAAATGCTTTCAAACAGTATCATATGCTACAGAGAAATCTTTCATGAAAGGAAGTCAATTGATGTGGCCAACTCCATTGTTGTCTTATTTTAAGAGATTGTCATAGCTACCCTAGCCTTTAGCAATCACCACCCTGATCAGTCAGCAGCCATCGACATTGAGGCAAAATCCTCTGCCAGCAAAAATCTTACATCTATATCTGAAGGCTCAGATGATTGTTATTTTCTAGCAATAAAGTATTCTTAAATTAAGGTATGCATATATATATATATATATATTTTACATAGTGCTGTTGCACACTCAGACTATAGTATAGTGTAAAGGTAAATTTTATATGCACTGGGAATCCAAAAAAATGTGTGTGCCTTGCTTTATTGCAGTGGTCTGGAACTAAACCTGAAATATCTTTGATGTATGTCTATAGAAGCAAACACATACTGACTTCCTAGTTTTTGAAGTTCAACCCAGAGATTAGCAAGTTTGCAGAGCTCAAGTATTGAGCAAGAGTAGTTGTCATTCTCTGACCACCATATCATTATGGATTTGCAATTGGAAATATTCCAGTGAGTAAAAAGTTTCTTGATGATTGTGTTGTTAGATTTTCTTACAGAAAAGGGTGAGAGAGAAAATCTGTAACTTAGCACCCCAGCAAGATCATGAAAGAAAATGACTTTTTCCTAAATGTATTTATTTTAAAAGATTAGTGAAGTAAGAGTGAGGGGTTTAGAGCTATATGGCTGGGGTTTGAGTTCCAGCTTTGCCACTTCCTGAAAGGTGCTCTCGGGTAAGTTACTTACCTGTGTCTCAGCTTCTTCCTTTGCAAGATAAAGTTATAAGAGTAGTATTTCCAAGAAAGAGTTACTGTGAAAATGGAATGAGGTTATACTCCTTTTATGCTTAGAAAAATGCACAGCAGAAAGCCTCAATTCATTGAAACAATTATTTCTTCTACTTACCATAGATACAAGGTAATAATTGATAGCAATAATCATTGAATTCACTGAAAAACTTCACAAAGTATAAAGCTGATAACATACGTTTAACTCTTGGAAAATGTATTATAATTCTTCATGTAATGGTTAGCCTCAACTTTGGTAAATTAAAATCTGTTCTAATGCATGGGTCCTGCTAAGCAATGCTTTATGTCACACTGAGGTAGACCAAGAAAAATTCCACATAGTTAAGCACAAGAGAAAGGAACACTAATTTAAGATAGAAGATTAAGTATAATAGCATGATCCCAAATTTTGAGAGCTATGGAGAAATAGTGGGCTGGAGAGGAGACAATATCTGTGTGTAGGTGTGGAGAGGAAGAGGAGGAGAGAGTGTTGATTTAAAAAGATGTTCTGAGAAGGTTGGCTCGTCTCCATAAGTATCTATCCAATGACCAGGAACCTCCTGCCACTGGATAACTAACGGAAAGATGGTGATTTTGTAATCTTCTGTGGATTGCCTCTGACGCAAATAAATGCATAAAAATCCTAAGTGTGTGAAAATGTATTTTCAAGATATTTGAAGTTAATCATTTGTTAAGAGAAAGATAACATCTTCATCTTGAGATTAAAGAAATAACTCAAATGATTACTATCTGAAGACATATTACTCTGTACTGAATTTGTGTTTCCCTCTGTCTCACAGACGATGCAATATCATCCTGAAAATATAGGTCTGGCTGATGTAAATTACATAGCAACCTGCTCTCAGGAATCTAGGAGCAGCCTATGAATTACAAAATCATTGAAGCAATAGCAGTTTTCACTTTTTTTTTGCAAGATGATCCTGATGAGGAAAGGTTTATCCTTTCACATAAAAGGGAGATGAGCCTCTTAAAATTACATAATTAAGATAATCAATGCCGTAGGTTTTAGTATCCTTATCTACAGTAGCGTGCTTTATGAAGGTGGTAGTTTTGAGGGTGACGGAACTTTCAGTTTATATAACATAGAAAGATTACCTGTCCCAGGGATTGCCATTCCAAACCGGCACTGCCGATATACACGTGCTGTTTGTCCACGATCCAGAAGGAGGACTGCAGCCGGCCCTTGTTGTAAGCGGTCATGTTCATGTACGTCACCTCGGCTCCTAGGAGTTCAAGGAGAATCTGGTCAGCCTCTGCATCAAGCCCTGCCTGGGCTGTCAGTCACCTACCAGCGGCAATACTCATGGTTCATCATTTGTCCCGACTGACAGTTAGGAAAGCTAAATATTTATGTTAGTTTGGTGGAGAGAAGGGCCCCAAAGTATTATTTTGTTCCCTAAAACAAAGAACACTTAAAAAAAAAAAAAAAAAGAAAGAGAAAAGAAAAGCCGGGGAAATGGCTTTTCCTTTGCATATGGCAGAGGAGGTTTTGTACATAGTGACAAGACCATGGCTTCTCAACTCAGATCTGTACTGAAATCCTAGCTCCACTTACCATCTGGATGGTGAGATAGGTACACCATATGCAGTTTTCTTTTCTGAGTAATTTTAATACAGTTTGCCACCAATATAAGGATCAGTCTTGTTCAGTGTCACAGCTCTCCTCAATAAGACGTTGGCCTTATTATGCTTTCTATACATTTTTCATCCTGTGACCCTTTCACTCGCCTTTACTTCTTCATTCCTTCCCTTTATTATTTAATCTGGGTTTGGTCTCTTCTTCGTCTTTATCTGATAGCTTTTTATTTATTTATATTTTATTTTATTTTTGAGACAGAGTCTCATTCTGTTGCCCAGGCTAGAGTACAGTGGCGCAATCTCGGCTCACAGCAACCTCTACCTCCCAGGTTTAAGTGATTCCCTTTCCTCAGCCTCCTGAGTAGCTGGGATTACAGGCGTGTGCTAGCACACCCGGCTAATTTTTGTACTTTTGGTAGAGAGGAGGTTTTACCATGTTGGCCAGGCTGGTCTTGAACTCCTGACCTCAGGTGAACCACTCGCCTCCGACCTTCCAAAGTGCTGGGATTACAGGTACCTGACAGTTCTTAATTTAAGCAATGATTATTCAAGCTTTACTGAAATGCCACCTTGAATGGTTAACTAAATAACTCAGACTATTGCCAAAAAAATATATTTGAAGAGCTAAATGTGACCAATTGCTTTAGGCTTCATGTGGTAGGATCCAGTGTCAAGCCTTTATGTATTACTGGCTCGAATGCATTTACAAACCTCTCAAAAGGATCATACGGTCCATTTAATGCAAGGGTATTTACATAAATTTCTCCTAAAGGTCTATTCCCATTAAAAGAACAGACCTATATGCATATATTTAATGAACTAAGCTATTCTGTCTTCAGGTATTCATTATTAATGAAGACGCTGTATTCCAGGGGCACACTTCATTGTCACAGTCTTCATTACCAGAGGCACGCATAAGACTGTATGCAGAAGGATACATTTCAGCCTATCAGAAAGGAAGGAGAGTAATTTACACTATGAACCTAATGCTTAACTCTTAGGAAAATGTAACCATGCATCTAGCTTCCTTGTGGCAGGAGGATGAAAAGAGATGTTAGGAGGTTGGGAGAGAATCTCTGAGGGGAAGCCAGCACTCAGGCAGATTTTCTCTGAGGGTAGAGCAGTTTCTTTGTCTTACAAGTAGCGGGCACATGTTTCTCTGCCTCCAGCCATCCTGGAATAGTAACATCCAAGAAAGAGCTGCAGATCCCAGAGGAGGAACTTGGGTATGGCAGAATCTGAATGTCCAAAATGGGTAGTTACCCTGGCAGGTATGGAGAGACCCAAATCTGCATGCAGGTGTGGCTGGCCCCACAGACACAGCCGCCAGTGCTCCTCAGTAGATAAACAGGAAAGACAGTAAGTGGCTTTACAGTCTGCCCAGGGCCAGGGATCCCTGTACGAAAGCCAGCAGAGCTGTGTGTAGAGATAAAGCAATATGTAATGCTAGGAATCCCAATTTATTGAATACCTGTGCGCCCAGTGCCAAGATAGCTACATTACAACAGTCTTATATGGCATGCTTCATTTTCCCTGTTTTAGGACACAATACATTCCTGTAAGTGGTGTAAGAAAATCCACTGAAAATATTTATGATACATCTGAAAAAATGTATATTTTTGCCTATGGTTCATGGACTATCACTTCCCCATTACAAATGATCTGGTTTTCTATCTAAATATTGATGCTCCATCTATCTCTGAAGACATATGCTTTTATCTTTATTAATATCTGGATATATATATTTAGTTATGTCTAACATGTCCCTCAGTTTATTCAATAGTTTACTTAAGAGAATTTATATTTACAGGCACTTTTAGAATATATTTGTCCATTGGTTATAGAAATAATCTTCATCCTATTGGGTCTTTATGTAATATGTATTAGGAAGCGATGGTTAAAATACAATGCTGTCTGACTACAAAACATATTTAATGATTAAAAAGTATATAATATGCCACTTACTGCATTTGTGTACACAACCTAAATTTGAGTTTATTTTATATTGTTGTGTTAGAATTGCAATTAGCAAAGGCATGCAATACAGGCCTGAACATTTAGATAAAAGGGCAGAGTAATATTTCTGTTTTTCATGCATTATATTTATGCAAATACAGACAATATAATAAATAAATCAAATTCTTTCCATTTACATTAAAAATTTGACATATTTTTATAGGGGCGATAACTTTAATTTCTACTTCTAAAATCATTTTAGGCTTTTTCTTACAACGTTGCATATTTAAAAAAATGTGTAGAATGCCATAGTTTTATAAGCACTAACGGAAACACTTCAGTTTTTTTCTATAGTTATTTTTATGACCCAGAAAACAGGGATCCTACATATTAAAGAGTTATTATGTTAAAATGACAGCAAGAGCTATGCATAAAAACCATGGAGTAATTTATGAGATCTGCTCATCAATATTCACGGCGGTTATTCAAGCTTAGCATCCACATGCAAGAGAATGCTGAAAAGCAGCCCATTTGTCCTATTACTGTTTTCATTTTCTCCCTGGGAATCACCAACTCACAAGAAACCTTTTCTAAAATTCTGTGCTAGATTATTCAGAGCCAACAAAGGATTTGCATTACCAAATAGTTAATATGTTCAAAACTAATATGTAGGTGACAGTTTTTAAATCCAGTACCATTAGGAAACCACAGGTTTCAAGAAAATCATTTTCTGTTTATATTAAGGTACAATTTACTTGTAGTAAAATTCACCCTTTTGAGCATCTAAGGGTTTTGAAAGACAGTCATGTGACCATCGCCACAATCAGAATGAAGAACAGTGTCATCCTCCCTAGGCTTCTTTTGCAGTGACTTCCTCTTCAAACCCCAGCCCTTGGCAAACACTCATCTGTTTTTTTTTTCTTTGTGTGTGTGTGTGCCTATAGTTTTGCTTTTGTAAGAATGTCATACAAATCGAGTCACAGAGTATGCAGCCCTCTGAATCCTGCCTCTCACTTAGCATAATGCATGTGAGACCCATTCATGCTGTTGTGTGGAACAGTGGTTTCTCTTTGCTGTTGAGTGATATTTTATTGTATGGAATGCACCACACACAACGCACGTGAGACCCATTCATGCTGTTGTGTGGAACAGTGGTTTCTCTTGGCTGTTGAGTGATATTTTATTGTATGGAATGCACCACACACAATGAACGTTAGACCCATTCATGCTGTTGTGTGGAACAGTGGTTTCTCTTTGCTGTTGAGTGATATTTTATTGTATGGAATGCACTACACACAACGCATGTGAGACCCATTCATGCTGTCGTGTGGAACAGCAGTTTGTTTCTCTTTGCTATTGAGTGACATTTCATTATATGGAATGCACCACATATAGCACATGTGAGACTCACTCATGCTGTTGTGTGGAACAGTGGTTTCTCTTTGCTGTTGAGTGATATTTCATTGTATGGAATGCACCACACACAACGCACGTGAGACCCATTCATGCTGTTGTGTGGAACAGTGGTTTCTCTTTGCCGTTGAGTGATATTTCATTGTATGGAATGCATCACACACAATGCATGTGAGACCCATTCATGCTGTTGTGTGGAACAGTGGTTTGTTTCTCTTTGCTGTTGAGTGATATTTCCTGGTACGGAATGCACCACACACTATGCACGTTAGACCCATTCATGCTGTCGTGTGGAACAGTGGTTTGTTTCCCTTTGCTGTTGAGTGATATTTCATTGTATGGAATGCACCACAGTTTGCTTATCCATTCTCCAGTTGAGAAACATTTGGGTAGTTTCCGCTTACTGGTGATGACAAATAAAGCTGCTGCAAACACTCATACATACATTTTTGTGAGAATGTAGTTTTCATTTCACTTGGGTAAATACCTAGGAGTGAGATTGCTGAGTCATATGGTAAATATATGTTTAACTTTATAAGAAACTGCCAAACTGTTTACCCGAAGCGTCTGTACCAGTTTGCATTCCCACCAGCAATATCTGTTAGTCTAAGTCATTCTGTATTCTTGCCAGAACCTGGTACTACATTTATATAAAGTTTTTCCTTTAAATATTATACACTTCTGAGATCAGAAAATATCTTTAAATCTGGCTTGATTTAATTAAATATATTTTTAAAACAGCTTTGAAAGTATATTAAGTATGATTAACCATTTTTTGCTTTTATAGATTTCTTTTCTAACAGGAAAAAAATATATGTCAGTTTCTCTGTGTGCAGCCCCTGATTCATTGCCCAGAGACCTCCGGATGTCAACCGAAAGATGCGTACATCACAACGTGATGCGTCAGGACCATGGCCTAACGGCTGTGCACAGCTGCTGGTGATGAGTCCAGATCTCTGCAGATCCTCCTGCTTTCAGCTCCACACTCTACTTAATTGATGATTAATGGGCATTATTAGTAACTCAAAATAATGTTTTTTGATGCCAAAACCAAAAGTGGTGAGAGTATATACTTCTTTCTATTGTTGCTTTATAAAATACGTTCATGCTATCCATGCCGTCCTAATTAAATCTTAAACAACAAACAAGGCTAAGGTTCAGAATTAGAAATGTTAAGCTACAAATATGCTAACTGATGATGTGAAAAGTCTGGTCCCAGTTGGTCATACTAATCAAGATGAAGTGATGTGGCTAACCTCCAGGTTTCACATGCTTC